ATATTCTTTATTAAGTTGAGAAAGTGCTCTGAAGATCTTTTTAAAATCATGAATTAGTGCTAAATTTTGGGAGGTGCTTTTTTGCTATCAATTGATTTGATTATGTGGTTTTTCTTCTTTAGCCTGTTGAGACGGTGAATTCTATAGGTTGATTTTTGAATTTCAAACTAACCTTACGTCCCTGGATTAAAGTCCACTTAGTTATAATATATAATTATTTATATATATATTCTATATATATATTTATATTCTCTTCATTAATATTTTGTTAAGAAGTTTTACAGCTATATTCATGAAGAATATTGACCTGTGGTTTTCTTTTCTTATACTGTCTTTGTCTGGTTTTGGTATCAAGGTAATACTGACTTCCTCAAATAAGTTGGGATTTATTCCCTCTGTTTTCTGGAAGAGATTGTGTAGAACTAGTGTTAGTTCTTTAAATAGTTTTGTCTAGTGAAGCTATCTGAACATGGAGCTTTCTTTTTGAGACTCATTAATTACAAATTCAATTTCCTTAATAAGCCATTGAAGTTATTTAATTCATATTGAGTGAATTATGATAGTTTATGTTTTTTGAGGACTTGGTCCATTTCATCGAAGTTGTCAAATTTATGTGCTTAAGTTACTTATATTACCCCCTTATTATCCTTTTGTTGTATACAGGTCGGTAGTGATGTCACCTACTGATACTAGTAATGTGTGTCACTCTCCTTTTTTCTGAATAAGTTTTGGTAGAGATTTGTCAATTTTATTGATCTTTTCAAAGAACCATCTCTTTTTTTCATTCATTTTCTTCATTGTTCTATTTTCAGTTTCACCAATTTCTACTTTTACCTTTATTATCTCCTTTCTTCTGCTTGCCTTGGATTTATTTTGTTCTTTTTCTATTTAGGTGGAAGTTATGTTATTGGTTTGAGAGTTTTCCTCTATCTAATATAAGAACTTCATATTATAAGTATCCTCAGTACTAAATTAGCTGTGTCCACACATTTTGATATGTTGTTTTCCATTTTCCTTCAGTTCAATGTATTTTTTGTGTTTCTCTTGATTATTTAATACTGTGGGTTTTCGTTTCCTAGTATTTGGTGATTTTTTGCTTTTTCTTTCTGTTGTTGATGTCTATTTTGATTCCATTATAGTAAGAGGATGACTTCTGTGTGATTTCTTTTAAATTTGCTACAGTTTGATTCATGGTCCAGGTCATGGTCTGCCTTGGTCTTTATTCTATTGTTGTTGCTCAGTCCCTCAGTCATGTTCGACTCTTTGTGACCCCATGGACTGCAGCACTCCAAGTTCCCTGTCCTTCACCATCTCCTGGAGCTTGCTCAAACTCATGTCCATTGCTTTGGTGATGCCATCCAACCATCTCATCCTCTGTTGTCCCCTTCTCCTCCTGCCTTCAATATTTCCCAGCATCAGGGTCTTTTCTATTGAGTCTGCTCTTGGCATCAGGTAGCCAAAATATTAGAGTTTCAGCTTCAGCATCAGTCCTTCCAATGAACATTCAGGATTGATTTCCTTTAGGATTGACTGGTTTGATCTTCTTGCAGCCCAAGGGACTCTCAAGAGTCTTCTCCAACATCACAGTTCAAAAGCATCAGTTCTTCGGTGCTCAGCCTTCTTTATAGTCCAACTCTCACATCCATAATAACTACTGGAAGAACCATAGCTTTGAATACACAGACTTATGTCAGCAAAGTAATATCTCTGCTTTTTAATGTGTCGTCTAGATTTGTCAGCTTTTCTCCCAGGGAGCAAGCATCTTTTTAATTTCATGGGTGCAGTCACCATCTGCAGTGATTTTGGAGCCCAAGAAAATAAAGTCTGTCACTGTTTCCATTGTTTCCCCATCTATTTGCCATGAAGTGGTGGGACCAGATGCCATGATCTTTGTTTTTTGAATGTTGAGTTTTGAGTCAACTTTTCCACTCTCCTCTTTCACCTTTTTCAAGAGGCTCTTTAGTTCCTTTTTGCTTTCTGCCTTAAGGGTGGTGTCATCTGCATATCTGAGGTTATTGATATTTCTCCTGGCAATCTTGATTCTGGCTTGTGCTTCATCAAGCCTGGCATTTCTCATGATGTAGTCTGCATATAAGTTAAATAAACAGAGTGACAATGTACAGCCTTGATGTCCTCCTTTAGACTCTTGAAAAGGTGGATAGACTGTCCTATAAATATCAATTCAATCCTGTTGATTGATGATGTTGCTGAATTCTTCTACATCATTTCTGATTTCCTGTCAAGTTGTTCTATCATCTCTTGGAAAAAGGCCATTTAATTCTTCAAATATAATTGTGAATTTGTATATTTCTATTTTCAGTTTTATCAGTTTTGCTTCACCTATTTTGTAGCTCTGTTGCTTGTTGTATACATATTTAGTACTGCCATGCTTTCTTGGTGAACTGACTCTTAATTATGTAAGCTCCCTCTCTGTGTCTGCTGGTTTTCTTTGTCCTTGAAGTCTACTTTATCTGATAGTAATATAGCCACTCTTGCTTTTTAAAAATTTATGTGTATATCTTTTTGCATTCCCTTACTTTCAACCTTCCTACGTTTTTATATCTGAAGTAAATTTCTTATAGACAACATACAATCATCACACTACTAATTTCTGTCTTTTGATTGGTATATTTTTAAAATGTACATTTAATATAATTACTTATATGTTAGGACTTAAGATGTTATTTTATTTTTGTTTTCTGTTTCTTTCTCTGGTTTTCATTAGAAATTCACTGTCATTTAATTTGCCCTTCCCCTCTAAGTGATGTGTTACTTCTCTCTGGCTGCTTTCAAGATTTCTTTTTGTTTTCAAAACTTAAACTGAAATGTGTGGATTTCCTTGGATAGTCCTGTTCAGGATTCACTTAGCTTCCTGAATCTGTAGATTTAAGCCTTTTTCTAGATTTGGCAAATTTTCAGCCATTATTTTGTCAAATACTTTTTCAGCCCTACTCCCTTTCTCTTCTTCTTCAAGGACTCCAATGACATCAATATTAGTCTTTTTTTTTTTTTTTTTTTCTCTATAGTCCCACGTGTCCCTGAAGCTCTGTTCACTTTTTCCCCAGTCTTTTCTCTCTGTTCAGATGGGGTAATGATTCTTTCCTTTCCTTCTTCTCCATTCTTGTGCTGAGCCCATTCACTGATATTTTAAATTTTGGTTATTGTAATTTTTCAGTTCTAAAATTGCCACCTGATTCTTTGCTAAGATCTTGTGTTTATTTTTCATTTGTTTCCAGTGTGTTCCCAATTGTTTGTTGAAGCATCCATCTTTTTGATGGCTACTTTAAAGTCCTTGCCCGATAACTCTAACATCTGCATCACCTAGACTTCCTCTGGATGGGATCCTTGTTATTGCTAGACATGTGTGGGGGCTCGGGCTCCCCACTGAGCCTCCACTGATTAGACTAGGTTGAGGTACTTTGTTCATGCTCCCCACATGGTTTCCACTGATAATAAATGGAAGGGATTTGGGTTGACCTTGATACTGTGAGTGGTGATAAAGTCCTAACTCTCCACTAGGACTCCTCTGATGCCTCCCTAATGAGGATGGTCCAGTGAGCCTTGATAGCACTTGGCAAGGGCGTAAGTCTAAATGTTCTACTGGGTCTTAGTGGTGGGTTTAGGTGTGGGACCACTTTTATTAGTCCACTTTTACAGTTCCCAGTCCAGGGCATATGAAGCAGAAAGAATACTCAGGGAACTCAAGGCCATAGTTCCTTGGGTTCCAAGATCCTTAACTGGTCTACTTTCTTGCCACCTTTCAGATTCTTCTTATGTTTGTTATATAAAAGGTCCAGCGTTTTCAGCAATACTTAGCAGGAAGAATAGAAGAAAGTATAATTACTCTGTCTTTCCAGAATCAAATTTTCATTTAAAAATTAATCTTTGATGTTATTTCAAAAGGAAAAGAACATCTTATTGGGAATTCTGAGTATCTTGCCAATTTTTTTAAGATCTTGGAGATGGTGTGCTTGTTGAGCTTTGGTTATTTTTTTACAGTTAAGAAGCATGTAAAGTTGGGGTAGGGCCTTTTGCTTTGTCAGGGTATAAAAATATACCTACATATATATTTATATATATATTTTAACTAATATTATATTATATATGGTATTTATACGTATATATATATATATATATATATATATAAACTGATATACCTATGTATATGGGCTTCCCCTGTGGCTCAGTGGTAAAGACTCTGCCTGCCAATTCAGGAGATACAGGTTCAATCCTTGGGTTGGGAAGTTCTCATGGAGAAGGAAATGACAACCCACTCCAGTATTCATGCCTGGAAAATCTCATGGACAGAGGAGCCTGGCAGGCTACAGACCATGGGGTTGCAAAGAGTCAGACATGACATATATAATTTTATATATGTATATATATATATATTTAATTGATGGACTTGGGTGTGAGGCACAGCTATATGTGTGTGTATGTTAGCTATATATAAAGTTTAATATATATTTTAGAATTGCAAGTTACTCAACAATAGCACAAATACTTTAACACATAAATGAAAATCTGGAAGCTAGTGCATAAATCAGTTCTTTACTTACTAATCGATGGAAGCAGTGGGAGTGTATTTAACATCTCAGAGCCATAAGCATTTCATTCAAAAGAAACTGTCTAATGTGTAATCTAAGTAACCCTCAAGACTAAAACTTGTGCTGCTGAATTGAAACTGCCATTATGTTTGGCACATGACTAATTTTATGCTATAATGACTCATGCTCAAGACTGTTTTTAGCTTTTGTGGACACTAAAGAAACTAGTTTGTTCAGGACCAATAAAACGGTATTAGGTAAAAAGAAAAAAAATCTTAAATAGTCTTGAAAAAAGTTTATATTTGCTATTACCTCTCTTGCTGGCGAGTTTGTTCAAACTAAAGTTGAGAGTGTTTGCTGTTTAGAGATGTTCTGCAAATGGGGTTTATGGAAAATGGATGTTAAATGATTAAAACAGACAATGAAAGATAACTCTTTTAAATTACCTTTTAGCATTTATGAGACCAGTACAAACAGCCCAAGAGGAAGATGCCTGCAGCTGCCGATTTCCAGAAGAAGAGGAAGGAGAGTGTGAACTGTGAAGATGTGTTGGGACTCTCTTGAGAAGAATCAAAGGAGAAATATGAGGGATCCCACTATTGTACCTTTCTAAAACATCATTCCAGTTCACACCCAAGATTACCCCAACAAACTTTTCCTAAATGCTAATGAATTGGCCTTTGAAGATGTACCACTTTTAACAGAACAAAAAAATGGGACACAACTGGTGGTAAAGGGGGCATTTTGTAGATATTGCTTAAGAGGTTCAGGCTAGTTTTCTTGAAATCCAGAGAAATATATTTTAAATTTAATCATGGAATCCAATGGTGCAGCAAATATGATAATCAAAATCAGTTCTATTTTTTTTTTTCTTCTGGTGCTCATATGACATGTGGCAATAAGCCGTTAAATTCAGACAATATCCCTGACCAGATTTTCCATTGGTTCAAGCATCCTCCACAAGGGCCTCCTCCACTGTTGGGGGAGAGAAAGATGACAATCATCGTCATGGCCCAGGTTTGGGGTCAAGAGCAAAAAAATGAAAAAAAAAAAAAGACAGACCTTGGGACTTCCTTGGTGGTGTAGCAGTCAAGACTCCACACTCCCAATGCAGAGGGCACAGGTTTGATCACTGGTTGGGGAGCTAAGATTTCCTCATGCTCTGTGATGTGGTCAAAAACAAACAAAAAGGGAAAAAAGAAAGAAGAAAAAGAGCAGACCTTGATGAAGAGTTTTGAAAAGAGTCCATGGGTATCCTGTGGTCATCTCCATCTTCACATCTTCTACCTTTGTCCTACTACCCTCTAAGTCACAACTTTTTTATATTCTTAAAAAATTTTAACCATAATATTTGATATACATGAACTAGGAGACCCATGAACACATCACCCAACCAAATAAGAGTTGCCAAACTTCCATGGGCCAAATCTGAGATGCTATGTGCCTTCGTGTGGTTTATGAGCTAAGAATGGTTTTGCATGTATAAATAGTTAAAAGCAAATCAAAATAAGAATATTATCTCATGACACATAAAATTAGCTGAAACTCAAATTTTGGAGTCTGTAAGTAGGTTTTTTTGGAAAACACAAGCCACCCTCAGGGGCCCTTTGCATTACAACAACAGAGTTGAGTAGTTGTGACAGAAATGGTGTGGCTCACAAAGCCTAGAATATTTAATAACTGACATATAGGGTCAAAGTCAGGATCAGAGCATCCATCCTTGTGCTCCTTCCTTCCCTCATCTCCAATCCACTTCCCCACCCCAAACCCAGAAACTTCTCACAGGAATGTTGTCTATCATTTTCCTGCTTTTAAAAAACCCATTTATCATATAACTATGTACCCCACAATTAGTTTACTTACTTTTGTTTGTTATTGACCTTTATGAAAATGGTTTGTGCTGTATGGAGACTTATTATGCTTTAATCACTGGAAAGTATATTTATAAGATTCACTCATGTTATTTTGTATAGCTAGAATGCTTTCATTTTGACTGCTGTATAGTCTTGCAAATATACTATTATTTATCAAATCCACTCTGAACTACAGGACATTTGGGTTGTTTCCAGGTTTTTTTTTTATAATTATGGAAAATATTGCTATGAATGTTCTTTTGTGTGTTTCCAATTGATGAGTGTCTCTAGGGAAACTTCCTTATAGTAAGAATTCCTAGATCTTAAGGTATTTGAATGTTCAACCTTATGAGCTAGTACCCATATCAGTAAGGATATGCTAAATTATGCAGAAATAACAAGTGTACCCACCTACAAAATCTTAATGGGTCACAACCACACAAAAGAGGTGCACTTCTGGCTGTCATGATATGCCCACTGCAGGCTGGTTGTGGTTCTGTCACATGTTATTTCACTCTGGGATTTAGGTGTATAAATCCCAGAGCAGCTTCTCCTTGGAACATTGACCATCTTGTGGCAAAGGAATACAGGTCACTTTGCTCATATATAGTTAACTAGATTCTAACTTTAAGAAAAAGTCATGCAGCCAACTATGGGCGACTATAGGGCGGAAAGTATAATCTTCACACAGGGAGGGGCAGCAAATATTTCTGAGCAATAAAGAGTCTTCTGCAGGGCTGAACCGCTTTTCACTGCGGTTGTTCTAATTTGTGCTCCTGTCAGCAGTGTACAAGCACCCCATTATGTTTCATCCTTGCCACCCTCAGGTATTTTCAGAGTCTTAATTTTGCCAACCCAGGGAGTTTAGGATGGCATCTCACCATGCTCTTATTTTGCATTTCCTTCATTACTAATGGGTATCTTGTCACATTTTTATACCAGTTTTTTTTTCTTTTTTGAGAAATGCTAGGTCGTGGTTTTTAACCATTTAAAAAAACTTGGTTATTTGTCATTTTCTTATCGATTCATAGAGGTTCTTTATGCAGTCTTGATAATAATCTTCCATTACTTATATGTGTGATAAATATCTGCTCTACTTGCAATTTTTTCTCTTTTTGTAGTGTCTCTCTTTGTCTTGACAGTAATAAGAGGTAACATTCTTAATTTAATATGGTTAAATTTACAACTTTCTTACTATATGGATAACATTTCTTTGGTGTCCTGGTTAAAGAAATCTTTTGCTCCGACAATATCATAAAGATCTTTCCCCACATTTTATTCTAAAAGTTTTAAATTTTGTTTCTTGCATTTAATTCTAATCCATCAGGAAAATTTTTTGTCTATGTGATGAGTAATGATCCAATTTTGAGTTTTTTATATGGATAACCATTAGTTCCAGTATCTTTTAATCAATAGGCCATTTTTCTCCTTATGGATCTGTAGTACACCTCTGTCATTTCCCAAGTTTCCCTCTATCTATGAGTGTTTTCTGGGATCTCTATTCTATTCCATTGGCCAATTTGTCTGTCCTGTACCAATACACACTGTCTTTGTTACATTAGTTTAATAATAGCTCTTGATACTTGGCAGGACAAGTTTTTTATGTCCTTCAATAAAGTTTCATAAAATTTCTCTATAAATTGTACAGCTTTAGTTAGATTTATCTCTAGATTCATTTTTGTTGCTTTTTAAATGATTTTGTTATTGGAGTAGAGAGATGTCATTGATTTTCTTATATTACTTTATAACCAGTCTCTTTCCTAAACTTTCCTATTATTTTTAAGAATACGTATGTGGATTCTTTAATGTTTTCTATATAGACAATCATGTTATTTGTGATAATAATAATTTCTTCTTTTTCTAGTCTTTTATATTTTATTTCATTTGCTTGATGTACTGCTTGGCTTCATGCCAGGACCTCCAGAACAGTGTGATAGTCTTTTTAAAGTCTTATTTATAGAGGATACTTTCATGGTATTATTATTATTTCTTTGGTAAATATACTCGATCAGTAAAAGGAAGTTCCCTTCTATTCCTGGTTTGTGAAGAGGGCTAGTTTCCATTTTGTAATCCGGAATGGGTGTTGAATTACATCAAATGATTTTTCTGGGGGAAAAAGAGCATTTGATTGTAGATAACTCAGCCAATGGCTTCATCATGTTGATTTCAATCTAAACTTCAGTCACATTCCAAGAAAATTTCTGCCTGAAAGAAATTTAATGCAGCAACAGGTGTAACACTAGGTATTCCTTCTTCCCCCTTGAAATATGCTTTGGTGTATGCTGTAATAAAGGTGGCACTTGTGATAAAGAATCCACCGGACAATACAGGAGACACAAGAGATGCAGGTTTGACTCCTGGTTGGGAAGATCCCCTGGAAAAGGAAATGGCACCCCACTGCAGTATTCTTGCCTGGAGAATCCCATAGACAAAGGAGCTTGGCGGCCACAGTCCACAGGGTCGCAAAGAGTCAGATACGACTGAACCCAGCACACAGCACAGAATATGTGTTCAGAAAACATTCGCTATTTTAATTTAAGTCAAGGAAGTAACTTCCATTAGCTTTTTCTTTACTATTTTGGTAAGAGTTTGTTGTTTATAGTAAAAGACTGTAATGTTTGTGGAGGATTTTCTGAAACTTTCTAGGAAATCTCATCAAACACATGAAAAAGTAACAATGGGCATGATTAGTCTTCCAGAATGAGAACATTTGAGATTTGATTTGGACACTTTGACCAACTCTGAATGGCTCATAGGCAGTCTCTGGCTGTTAATTTTGGGAACCTGACGAGGATGCTTCAGGTAAGAGCCCTGTTAACCCAGTATTCTGGCAAGAATAAGAGAATAGTCATTGGTAGTACAGTCCTTTGAAAATAAGAGGCAGAGACACCCTGGAAGTCCAGTGGTTAAGTGTCCATGCTTCCACAGCAGGGAACATGGGTTTGATCCCTGGTCAGGGAACTAAGATCCCACATGTTGTGCAGTGTGGCCAAAAGATATAAATGAACAAAGTGGTATAAAATAAGAGGCAAAGCAAAGCTGAGGGATTTTACCAGTGCTGCTTCAGAACAGAGTTAGGTGTAATTTTTTTCTCTCTCTTCCAAACTACAACATTAAATTCCAACATGGCTTTCACTCTCAACTTTGGCGCCTTTGTGTTTAATTCTCTGTTGCCCATTATCCATAAACACAAAGGAACTGATCATGCCCCACAGGCTTGGGTCATCCAAGATAGCTCATCTGTCCTAGATTATAAACACAGAAAATCCACAATTCATTCTACTTATCTGACCTGGCCGTATTTATTACACAGACTGTACCACACTTTTATCATAGTGTATTTTGGCATAAAGTCTAAATGGTATAAATGAAAACACAGGAACCTGGGGGTATGAGTCATCTTTCCCCCTAAATAACAGTTAACGAAGAATGAAAATCAAGACAGAACTCAATGATCCCCTTTGGGGATTAATTTAGGAAATCCACTAGTTAAGTTGGATAGAAGTTGCTCTGGTCAAAAGAAAAAACCTATTTAGGGATGGACAAGTTGGAAACAGTCTTCCAAGTGCTTCAAAACAAGCCTTGGTGACTTCGGAAGCAAATTTTGATTTTCTCCTCTGGTGGAAGGTGTTGGTCTGATGGAAACTTTTGATATGAGGGGCACTGGGTGGCTCGAATGCGTGCCGCCCTCCTCTGCGGAGCAGAGCTTTCCACTGTGGGTGGGTGTGCACTCAGATGACAGAGCGTGTGAGTTATGTGCGGTCTGTGTGTGGTGGGGCCAGCAGCACAATCATTGCCTATGTTTTTCTGTTAAGGGCTCTATAAAAAGCATAAAATAAAAAGGCCTCTATAATAAAACATACACTGATTGCTTTCACAGGAAAAAGGAATACCTAAGAAAATTCCTACTTTAAAAAAGTTCTATACCCCTTGCAATGTCAAATCATAAAGGCTAATAGTGAATTGATGTGATATTCTTTTTTTTAATTAAAATTAAAAAAATCAGTCGTGGCAAGCAGGGGCTACTCTTCACTGTGGTACACGGGCTTCATGTACTTTCGTGGCTTCTCTCGTTGCAGAGCACAGGCTTTAGTGCACGTGGGCTTCAGCAGTTGCAGCTCACAGGCTCTAGAGCAGACACGGGGTCAGTAATTGTGGCACACGGGCTTACCGCTCTGAGGCACGTGGG